AGGAACTGGAAACACAGGGAGTCCAAGGCAGATGATCCCTTCAGGACCAGTGCTGAGAATGGTGATACCGGGAGGGTGGGGTGGAAAGGGGGAACAGATTACAAGGATCTACATATAACCTCCTCCCTGGGGGATGGACAACAGAAAAGTGGGTGAAGGGAGACGTTGGACAGTGTAATATAGGACAAAATAATAATTTACAAATTATCACGGGTTCATGAGGGAGGGGGGAGCGGAAAGGGAGGGTGGAAATGAGGAGCTGATGCCAGGGGCTTAAGTGGAGAGCAAATATTTTGCGAATGATGAGGGCAATGAATGTACAAATGTGCTTTATACAATTGATGTATGTATGGATTTTGATTAAGAGTTGTTGAGCCCCTAATGAAATGATTTAAAAAAGAAAATGTGTGGGCTCCCAGGGTAATAGAGTTTCACATCTCAAATTTAATATGCCAAGAAAATTCTTCAAAAATTCCCTATCAAAACGATCAAATACAGAGCCAGGGAACACAAATTGAATTTCCAAGAAAACTTTAAAATAAAAACGACCAGGTTTTGCAACAAGGGCCTCCCTGAGATCATATAGATCATGCTGCCCTCTGGTGGCAGAGGTAAACAATCACATGGTTACTTCAAGGAAGCCATGATTTACATTGGAAATCCAAAGACATCCCTTCATTTCCGAATGACTTGCTGCTGTTCCCCATTTTCTCTAATGGGGCCCAGATTAAGACAAGCTTTGACTGCGGAGAGAGAGGTGCAACAAACACTACGCAGACACAGAACGCTTGTCTGCGAAGGAATGCACAATCCCACCTAAGGTGCAGTCACAATGCCCATGGCATCTTGGGGCAGATGGAAATGGGAAGCTCTGTCTGACAAGGCCGTTACCTAGAAACATTGAACATGGATCGAGTGAAGAACAGAGATGAGTGTGGGGGAGAGAAGTAGAAAAGAGACCGAGGGGAAAGAAAACCACCTTGGCCATTCTAAAGCCACATGGTGGTTGGAATGGAATGTGACCCAGATAGGGTAAATTGTACGAGGCTTTGAAAGATCAATAGGTAGTAAGACCTCATAGTACTGAGACTTTAAAAAACAAACAAAATACTCCCACCATTTACCCAATCATACATGTGCTCAAAATGGGCTCTCAAATTCCTATGACTTGGAGAAGTGCAATCTTCCTAAAAATCCAATGACCTTGGGAGTGGCCCCAGTACAGTCAACGTCATTCACCAATGAGAAAGAACATGCAACGCCCGGCTACTTCCCCTGTTCCACGTCCCTTGGACGTGAACTTAAGGGTGGTGGGGTGGCAGCCAGCTTTCAGAGAGCCCCACTGAGGGTTGGGTTCTGTGAACAAGGGCAAAGGGTCTCCCATGGATCAACACTGCACAAGGAACCCGAGAGGCAGCCCTCTTCAAGGGGAAGCACTCACGCATGGAGTCATTTCTATAGGATGTCAGTCCATACTCCATGTTCTCAGGGCAGCACACGATGCACAGGTTCTCCCACCACATCCACAGCCCACTGGTGTCTTCCAGATGCCGGTCGCTACAAGGTATATAAAGGAACAATGGCCAAGCACACTCAATTCCAAGCTAGGCTTGGGGTTCTCCCAAAGCAGGCGCTGCAGGGGCAGAACTGTTGCTGTTGTTAGCTGCCATGCACTTATACCTCCCTGGGCCTGTCCCATTCCCATCATCACTGCAGACTGGACCACTGACACGCACCTGGCTTTCAGCCTTTCTTCCGATACTGAAACCTTCAGAGAAGCCTGCTGAGCAAAACACAAACCACCACCAACAGATTGGTGGCAGCTGTGAGGTACATTGGCCAAGAATCGAATGGGAGTCTCCTGTAAGAATTCTACCACTTACCAACACAACACCCTTACTGCTCCCCGGGAAGCTACACAGGGCAAAAGTCCTCCCCATTCCCTGAGCGTCCTAAAGCCTGATGGTTATAAGGATCCTGAGTCTGAGTGCATGGAAATCTCTCAGTGACCCCTGCTAGATAAACTTGAGTGGTGAAGTCCTTAAAAAAAAAAAAAAGAGTGCTTCCCCATTTCTCCACGCTGCTTCCAGGGCAAACTCTGTAATCCAGGGGAGTCTGGCATTAAACTGGCCAGTTTCATAAGGCATATAAACCAAGCTATCTCCCTCTCTACCCTAAAGGGGAGAAGAAAAAATACATATAAACTGTTAAAGGACATGCATCCATCATACAAACTGTGAAGCACAATTCAGAGCTTTGCAGCTCTTCCCCCACTGGAAAAACTTCCAAAATGGTTGTCCAAACAAAAATTTAAGACCTACCACTAAAAGTGTAAACCACTTATAGCCCTCACAATTCAGGGAAAAGGTGTCCATCTTTGGAGTACTTCTTTGAGCTTCATTTTACTGAAGGAGTGAAATCCTGTTAACAGACCGGGAAGGAAGGGGTTCCTCTAAGATTGGAGACCTCGGAGGTTGACACTTGGTCATCGATCCTGAATAGGAAAGGTCAGCATGCGGAGACACGTGGAGCTCTTGAATATGAGCGGTCTGGCTAACATGACACCTGCTCCTTGATGACTGACTGGCTTCTTATCCGTTTTTTGACGACAACAGTAACATTCTACTCTCCAACTGTTTTGAGCGTTCACGTGTCTGTCAAAACGCTGAGGTGCTAGGCAAGAGTCAAGCTGGCCGTCATGGGCTTAGCGATGATGTGTCCACTAGGCAGGGCCATGACTCTCGGAGGATTGGCAAGCACGTAATGGTATATCATCACCCTCCATTTCGTGACCCAATGTAGTCACTCTCCATTTCACATAATAGCCTGGTCCTTGAGACCTAGCCACATTAATAATGAACGGCGCGTTTCTTAAATAATGACCATACAAAAAGCACATTCCCAAGCTCTGTGAATGTTAACATGGTTCAATCCACGTAATATTTTAATAAAGTGAGTATGCATACGAGTTTAGAGATAAGAAGACAGAGGCGCATAGAAGTTAACGAACACAGATCGGTTAGCGTTTGTAAATTGTTGCTGTTGGTTGCACACGTGTCCTTTCTGACTCACGGCCACCCCATGTGTGCAGTATAGAACTCCACCAGATGACCAGGCCTCTCTTCCAGGGCTCCCCTGAGTGGGTTTTCAGTATTGGTCCACTACTTAACCACTGATGCCACCAAGGAGCTCTTTTAGTAGTAACTAGCATCAGTTATCAATATGATTAACTAGAACACCTAATATCATCAGGTACTCGCCCAAGACTGAACACAGGCAGTTGGCTCCAGAGGCCACATCTCAACCACATCTTCCTGCTTAGAGATTTTCCTATCCAGTAGCATCTGTATAGCTGGTCACCAGCAAGGCCCAGGCTAACCCCTTGTTCCCGTCAGTCCTCCCTTCTGCCTTGACCATCTTCTTACCACCGTTACAAACAATGGTGCTCCGGGCCTCACCATGATGACCCAGCTGGCCAAGTTGGGGCAATTTGGTGCCTTAGCCAGGGAGGCTCCCCTCAGAGGCTCGACTGGCCAGAGGGCATCAGTGGCTTGGAAGCCACCTGGAAAATACACAGCCAGGAATTCCCTACTGAGGAGGCAGGAGGCAGAGACCACAAAGTCCCTAGTGTGCAACCAAAGCCCACCTCACATGGACAGCCGTAAAGCTTTCTATTGAAGGAGGTGTCCACACGCTGCCAGCACTGGGTCTTCATTACTTTTTCGTCATGTGCTGCACAGACCTGAGTCACTGGACACTCAAGATCGCTTCAGTGTCAGAAGTGGAAGGCCTTCCCAATGAGAGAAACAAACCCACAAATCGATACCCTCCCTCAATCAGCCACCTGCTGCAGAGGGCTTTGGTGATCAGCGCAAGCCTTTCTTTGAGGCCTTACCAAGTGCCACCGAGTCGATCCTCCGGACCCGTGGCAAATCCATGGATTTCAGAACAGATTCGCACACCGCACAGGGTTTCCACTGGCTGTGACCTCTCAGAAGTAGATGTCCCAGCCTGTGTTTCCAAAGGCGCCTGGGATAGATTTGAACCACCAACTTTTCAGTCAGTAATGAAAAGCTCAATAATGTACACCACTTAGGGACTCCTAGAGCCATGTAAATATAGCCACCACTTAGCATTCACCACACGTCAATGTTTATGAGGGGGTACCCCTAAAAAAAAAAACAAGATTGTGCTGGGCGGAGCAGAGCATTTACAGTACATATTTTTCCCACTAGGCAAGCATTGAGCAACTCACTCTGAGTTAATGCACGCAGCTGGTGTCACCTGGGAAGGTTCTTTCTGGTCACAATGCATTTTTTTGTAAAAGCCATTTCACCTCGTTTTTTATGATGGCTGATTTAAGAAAACAGCATGTGGCTGTGACGTTTGTCACCACAACAATGCACCTGCTCACGCAGGCATCTCATTGTGCCATCAGCATGCTTCTCTTGCCCCACACACCTTACTCACCTGACCTCCCTCCGTGTGACTTCTGTTTGTTTCCCGAGAACGTAGAGGGACATGAAAGGACAGGAATTTGATGACACAGAAGTGAAGCAAAAAACGAGGGGGGTGCCCTCTGCCATGCAAACAGATGAGTTTGAAAAATGTTTCCGATAATGGAATCACAGATTGGACAAATGGTATTAAGTATAATGGAGATTAATTTGAAAGTAAAAAGATTGTTTTGTAAAAAAAATTTAAATACATAGCTTTGAAAAAAAAAGTTCCGTTTTCGTGAACATAGTGTCTCACATACTATACATCATGATGCAAAACCAAATATTCATTTATTTATACACAATACATAACAGAATAAGAGGTTGCATGCCTCTTGTATTTTGATTTTCTCTGGAAGAAGAAAAATACTCGTGATGCTCTCTGTAGAGAATTTAGCCAGCACACTACAGTGGTCCCTTACCCAAGTATTTCCCCTCCCCCATTTCAAATATTAAAATGCAACCAGACACGTTTACTGATCAACTTATTGCCCGACTTACCTATTGGGTTCCTATCAAAGAACAACACTGGAGCTTTCAAAATGGACTCAAACATCTTGTTGTGCAGAGTTTGAGAAGAATGAACAAGGATGTAGAACACCAACAGGGACCTGGCTATACCAAAAAGTACCGTGGCCACGGTTAAACCTGCAAAAGAGAAATAATGCTCCCTGACACAGAGTTAAAGCAGGCCGGAGTCCATATAAAGACAGGACTTCGTTCCTTTCAGAAAAGTAGCTCTGGGTTCCTTCTAAGCTAAAGTGTATTCCTAAGATTCATTTACAAAGAAGAATTCAATCTTTTATTTTGTCTCACTGAACAGATGCTGGGGGTGGGACAGGAGCCTGGGATGAGCTATGATTTTACACCAGGATTCCTAGACTAATGAAGAGGATCTATCAGAAAATCAGAACAAGTGAGACCATTCTAAAAAGTAGTTGATGTTGAATTTGACATTATGTTTTAATTATATTAAAAAATAATATACTTTTTAAAAAGTCGTACATTTTCCCTTTTTCATATTCTAAATGATAGGTTCTACAACATGTCCCAGAATTCAAACTGTACTGTTTTGATGTTCACATGCGCTACTGACAGAAGAAAAAATGCTGTTTACCTAGTCCTTATAGAAAAGATCCAAGTCACTTTAAAGAAGCTGAAACTATAATATTAAAATTACAGGGGAAAACCTCTTAAGTAACTGGCTGGGGAGAAAATACATTAGCAAATATAATAAATTTAAACTTAAGACAAGTAATCGAAATAACTAACAGTTATCCCGCTCAGACTTTTCATATAACTAGAACATTTTTAAGCGAACATAATTTAAATGGTATGTTTTATTAGCAAGACGCAATGAGTACTTCTTATGCACATAAAAATTATAATAGCTTTCCTAATATCTCTTGAACACACAGTGCTAAATAGAGTTTGGCTAGCTTCTGTAATAAATATTCAATCGGGTAACTTCTCCCCCCGCCCCCTTCAGATGATGCATCATTGTTATTTAAACTGGGGAAGCGCCTCCAGTGCCTAAACTCCCTCAATAGGCATTTTCTTAGCCCTAAATCCTACATGAATATATAATAGAACCACTTTTTCTTCTCCCTTCATTCAGGTCTCACATGGTCCACCAATTCAGGAGGCAAACAGCTAATGGATTTAGATTTCTTGGCCACCGATGGACGAAATAAATACCACATTTAAATGAGAGGGCTCCTATCAAGATAGCTCACTCTATCTTAGAGAAAAGCTGATAGGAGTGTTTGCTGGTGGAGACATTTGAAGTTTTACATGAGGGTTTCCTTTAAAAAGTACGCAATGCTACATATATCCGAAGCACTCTGCTCAGAATGGAGGGCTGTGGCAATATTAGTTTGGCAAGCCAAATGTTAAATTAATCACACAGTTGGGAAGGTGATAACATTGTGATCCCAGGGTAGGAACGGGAAGGAATTCTTACTCCCTGACACAGGATTTGTCCCTGCTTAGCTTCTCTCTTAAGTAATTAGTGAAGCCCAAGAGATGAGCAGTCTGGTGAGGGGAGCTTTGCATACCAGGGAGGAAATAATGCTTTTTATTTGGGGTGCTTTGCTTCCAGAGAATTGCATCCAAGTTCAATAAAAGACAGGGCTTATTCAGACAGAATTGGAACAATTTGAACCACAGGGTGGGGATCCGTTTCTAATCCCCTTGCCCATCCATATAATGATAGAAGATTTAGCTAAAGCAACCTATTAGAATAGACAATAGGCATATATTTCCAGTGGCTGACTTCCTGAATGCTCAATCCTGGTTTAACTTTCAAAATCCAGTACAGAGCAAATTAAGAGTCTTCATTCGACCTCTTTCTTCCAGCCGATTTAGGGGGAAAAAAATATTATTCTAATTAATTCACAGAGTAAATTCGACTCAGACTCTTAATCTGTTAAGACATTACTGAATTCCCCCTGGAAGTCTGAGTTACTCACACAGACTCATTGTAAGCACCTCAGACTCTTGCACAATAGAGCAAATGATTAAACGTTACCTGCATAAACTCCTAAGTACCAGTTGAGATCTAGCGTCTCCGTTACATTTCCTTCCCCATTTACAGTTGCATTCAGTGCGCTCTGCTCATTTGCCCTGTGGAATGGAAGTCAAGGAGAAGACATACACATATTAGGCAGCAGACAGAGTTCTGACACATTTTTTAAAATGTCAAATAAAACCACTGCTTTTTGGAAGACCCATTCTATGCTGGAGAGATTCCTGACTCACACTTGACTATGTACCTCCATTCGCCGAATAAAAATTCATTTTGGATAGTGACTTTTGGGTCTCAAAGCTGACTGTCACCAGACTTGGTGCAGACCATTACAGGCCACGTGTCAGCGCCAGGAACTTCCATCTCCTCCTCAGGTAAACTCAGCGAGGAGGATTAGGTGGGAAAGCCAGAAAAACAAAACAAAAAAACCCCATCTCTCCCGCAACTCAGGTAAAGGGCGCACCCCCACAGGGATTCCGTAGCACTTTCTGTCACACAAGGACCTAACTCACCAGTGTGAAAGCCACCAGTCCTGGAGCACGTAGAAAACCTAGGGAGGAAACACAAGCAGCTGTCAGTCACACGAACCAGCTCAGGACGTCCTCTGTCCCACAGCAGGCCCAGAGCGTTGGGCCCTCAGAACGCGCCAGCACAAAGGAGGCCAAGCGGATGCCCTGACCTTTCGGAATCTATCATGGACACTCTTTGGTCCCCCTTTCTCTCTAGATGCCCTTTGTGATGTGCAGGCCCAGTCAGCATCACTTGGGCTGCTCCCTGGAGATGAACTTTGCAGACCAGATTGCAAGGGGTAGAAAAGACAGGAATAAGAGCATAAAGGTGGGTCTTGATCACTATGGGTCTAAGACAGTGGTTCTCAGCTTTCCTCATGCCACGACCCTTTCATTCAGTTCGTCATGTGGTGGTGACCCCCCCAACCATAACATGATTTTCGTTGCTACTTCATCACTGTCATTTTGCTACTGTTATGAATCAGGCGACCCCTGTGAAAGGGTCGTTCAACTCCCACAGGGGTCTCGACCCACAGGTTGTGAATCGCTGGCCTAAGGGTACAAAGTTCAGGATTTACCAGGGCGGCGACATTCAGTAGAATAAGGAAGATGATGGTGAGCCAGTGGGCACCAGCAGCAAAGTAGTTCTTGTACGCCTTCAGGCCGACTTTCCCTTCTGATCGGCTCTCTTCGGTCAGGGCCACCTGCATGGTCTCCGACTAGGGAGGGAAAAGAAAGCCGGCCAAGAAACACAATGTAAAGGAGCGTACACAGCAGTCTCTGAAGGCTGACAATGCATGCTGGTGGTCGAGCTGAAAAAGGAGGAGGTGGTGGCCATACTGGCTGCACTCATATATGCATTGAACCCTGGACTCAGCTGTCCCCAACTCTGAACACCTACTGGAAATAAACATCATTTGCATAAGGCTATGTTCACTGTGGCACGGCTTTTCCGGCAATGAAGCACCGCGGTTTCCAAGACACGCCAGCACAAACAAAGGGAATGCAGGCACCGGTACCAAGATAACAGGGATTTGTGACATTGTTACCAAATGCTCCTCCAGTACTGCAGGGCTTGGGTTCAAACCTTGTGCCTGGGTGCAGAGCACCTGGCTGGTGGCGAGGAGGAGCATGTTTGGTCCCTGAGGGTCCAAGAGTGAGGCCTGAGTGTCTGGAATGATCTGGTTTAGTCTGCGCAATCAACAGAACCATCCAGGATTCCAGGTTTGGTTGGGGAGGGCTTCTTTACATATTGGAAGGCACATGAGCTCATTCTGAAGGAGCCCTGTTGGTATAAATAGCCAAGTACTCAACTGCTAACCCAAACGTTGTCGGCTTGAGCTCCCCAACCCCACTCCCAGTGGCTGTGCAGAGACAATCTGGTCATCTGTTTCCAAATGACAGCAGGGCAAGTAACCCTCCTGTGGCAGTGGGGACCCCTGGGGAGGCAGACGTGAGTAAGACAGGGTTCCTGGGTGGGAAGGGGGAAAAGGAAAATAGGTGCTAGCTCCTGAGTTTCTACAGCATGCCAGGAGTCTCTGGGGCAGAACTCACAGTGTGACCCTCCTGAGCGCCCTCTTTCAACGAGGGTCTCGACGATTGTTGAGACCAAATTGAAGACTCCGAGAAGGTCCGATTCCTCAGCGTGGGGGTGCCAGGCACGGGATTCTGCTCAGGTTCCTCGTGGTCCTTCTTTAAAAGGGAGCCAAAGTCGACCCCAGATGAAAGGAACTCGGTGTAAGTCCCCTTTTGCATTGTTGCACCCTAAAAAAGAATTGGAGAAGACATATTTGATAACACGGATCAAATAATTTACCACCAACACAAATCAGGAGAGGTAAGCTGATCTTAAACTATGATTTTCTTCAGTAAACTCTAGCTTATTGGCATAGCAAAACCATATACTCAAAAAACACATAATTGAGCATTCTGTTCAATGACAAACTGTGTTGGGTTTCAAAGAAGTGTGTAATCATATGTTAAAAATGGAAATCACTGACATAAACACTATGAGCATTTAAGGAAACAAACGGTATAGACGCCAGTGGAGGTATTAAGATCCCCTTCATAGGTGACATGGAAACTGACATAAGCCTCAGAATACTCAGGGTTTCAAAGAAGAGTAAACTGGGGAAGAAACCTAAGACTGAGAAGGAGGAGAACACAAGTAGGTCAGCATGGATAAGAGTCAACGGACACACCTGATGATCATGCCCCATGTGCCCCTGCTAGAACTGAGCATGTGAAAACCAGCCATGAACATGGACTCCATGTGATGAGTCCTCCTGGTCTCCATTTTGAAACGGCCCTAAAAACTATAGTTAATATTCATAATTTGATTCTATTCTTATACCAAAAGAATGGAGGAAGAGAAATACTAACCATCTGAAGAGTGAGAAAGAAGTGTCAAGCCTACAGTGAGGGGTCATCTCAGCAAGGGTCGGTGGAAAAATCAAGGGCTAAAGACTGGACTGCTGAGGTGCCAAGTCAAGGAGTGATACACAGAGCCAACATTTAACCTAAAGAGATCTCACACCACCCTGCCCCCCAGCCACGCTAGACTAAGCCCACCCTTGAGTCTTCTGGACCACTAAGACCACCCATCTGTCTCCTTGCTTTGTTGTCCTTCCATTACATCAAGGGAGATACTTTAGGTCAAAAGGGGGAAGTATACAGAACAGAATCCCAAATTCTCATAGTGTAAACTTTCTGGAACCATGCAGGCTGGATGTACCCCTATCCTATGACCCAGAGAAAATCTTTAAACCTTAAGGTTTAAAAAAAAAAATATCCCCTGAAGGATTCTTTATACCAAACAATGGTTAAGCTAATTAGTAAAGAATGTCTGCTTTGAACAGTGGGCTCTTTTAAAACTACCTATGATCTCACACTGAGAACAGCAATTCCCACCTTAGATAAGAAGGGAGTTTGAGGAACAAGAGGAAAAGGAGAGTGAGGATGGCTTCAGCTTCACTGATGTCCCCAACGCCACTAAACAGCACGTGCAGAAATTGTTGTATGTTTGCTCTAAATATTTTCAGTAACACAAAAATGATTTACTAAAAAACCCAAATTTAGTATCTTTGAAAACTTGCTAAACTCACTTTACTTCCCATGGTACAATAATATGTCAAAAAATGTGAACTACAATTTCACAACCCCTGAAAGAGATCGGGCTTGCTTTGGACCACATGGAAGCTCCCTTCCATCACACAGTCAAGTCCACTAGGCATCTGCTCTGGGCCCATCTTCCATCATAAGACTCCCTGGCTATTTCTCACAATGTCAGGTTAGCGCCTTTCTCAGGATAGAACCTCTCGAGCCCTGTGCTGGTCCAAGTCTCTCTAATGCTCTTCCCCAAGGAGTCTGTACATTCATGTCATTCAGGGTACTCCTGATACCAATATCACTCACTCCAATAGCTCCTGCAACACACCTGTACCCACTAAGAATGTCCTATGATAACAGCGACTTTTGCCATATTTCTGCCATGCCGAATGCCCCAAACAGGCTCCACCAAATGCCGGGAAGTGAGACAAAATAACTGGCTGCCCAGCATCCTGGGTGCCTCGGCCAGGGGAAACCCAGCCCTATTATGTTGCTCTTTAATGACAGACATTCTTTAGGTAAATTGATGTGATTAAAGGAATATGAATATGTTAATAAGTTAATAAATAATGAGAAGTGTACTTGGACTTAAGTCAAACTTAAATGATAAATTTTATTACCATCAACAATTTCTCTAAAAGAATGTTCATTTTATAAGTTTGAGATACCAATTTAATATACTTTAGGTTTTGTGGTTTCCATAAGCCCTTTAAGCTTATCTTCAAAGGCACTGACCAATACCAACTGTAAGTGAGACATAAACTTGAGGAAGAAGAGTCGTATGCCATGAAGCCCAAGCACAGGGGTCTGAAAACAGGCCGCGCCTTCAACCCACCGAACACTCGCCAGTTCTGCAGACATCTGCTAACTACTTACATCTTTCAGTATCAAAATCTGACTGGCAGCTTTGAGGTATTGCAACTGGTGAGTCACTAAGATGGTGATCTTCTCATGCAAGGTTTGACAAATACACCTGTGAAAGGAAAGGTGCAGTACACAAGGACACATTAGTGGGGGTACTCCCGGTAACAGACCCACATTTTGAAACCATGACAAGACCAAGACACCAGAGGAATAAAGCAGCTGCAGTCTGAAAATAAATGCAAATACAAATTTAAATTAAATACAAATATCAATCAATGAAAACAATTCCAAGCTCAAGTTCACACACAGCACTGGTGAAATTATAAAAACAAAATTAGCAAAGAAGGTCGATGGCTACTAAACTAATCTGCTTGTTGCTTATTTTAAAAACTTAGTCTAATGATTACTCTTACATTTTATGTGGAAAAATATGGATAATTGAAGTTCCAAAAGATGACAACTAAAATAACTAATTATTTTCTCTCTAAGGCAGGGAGCCCTGGTAACACAGGGATTATGTGCTAGGCTGTGATCCTCAGGGTCAGCAGTTCAAAACCACCAGCCACTCCTAAGGAGAAAGATGGGGCTTTCCACTCCCATTAAAGGTACACTCTTAGAAACCCACAGGGTGGTTCCACGCTGTCTTATAAGGTCACTATGAGTCAGCAGCGACTTGATGGCAGTGAGTGTGGTTGCTGTTTGATGGGGGTGTTAGGGCAGGTATGTAAAAATGTAAAATGAAAACCTTTTTTGGGGTTGCCTAGCAGACGTACACAGTACCCAAAAAAAGTTAATAGATTCTTGGTAACCACTGCCAAAATATATTTTTCTAGACCATTCTCCCCAAGTAAGGTTAGACATGAAACTCACTAAGGAAAAACACAAGTTGCCATCCAGAGGGTTTTCATGCGCCGATCATGAGGCCATTCCTCCAGTGTCACTGCGTTAGTTCAAACCACCACCATCTAGGTTCGTCCTCAAGGGTAAATACTTTGTGCCACCAAAGACCCCAACCTAGTCTTCTAAACAAACACAGCCCAAAGGCGCACGTCGATTCTGGCTCAGAGCAAGCCTGTCTGTACAGAAAAATAGAACTGCCCCCCAGGGCTTCCACGCTTGCAGTCTTTATGTGAGGGAGCTGCCTGGAATTCAAAGCTGGATTCAGAAAAGGTTGTGGAATGAGGAATATCAGTGCCTACGCCAGCTGCATTTAAGCTGAAAGCAGAGAATACCCATGTACTATTGACTGTGCAGAGGCATTCGACTGTGTGGATCATAACAATTTCTGAAGAATGAGATTCTGAGAACATTTCATTGTACTCATGCAGAACCTGTACACAGACTAAGAAGCAGTAACGTGAACAAAACCTGGTGGGGGGGGAGGGGGGCGCCCTGCAGGGCTTAAAATCAGGATATGTGTGGATTAGGATTGCATTCTCTCACCATATCATTCAATCATTGTACTCATGCAGAACCTGTACACAGACTAAGAAGCAGTAACGTGAACAAAACCTGGCGGGGGGGTGGGGGGTGGGGCGCCCTGCAGGGCTTAAAATCAGGATATGTGTGGATTAGGATTGCATTCTCTCACCATATCATTCAATCTGTATGCTGAACAAATAATCAGAGAAGCTGGCTTATGCGAAGAACATGGTTTCAAGATTGGCGTAAGATTCATTAGTAAACAGCATATGCAAATGGCTCATTTGCAGACAGTGAAGAGCAGTTGAAGCACTTATTAATGAAAATCAAAGACTACAGCCTTCAACAAGGATCACACTTCAACATAAAGAAAACAAAAATCTTTGCCACTTGAACAATAAACATCATCACGGTAAACAGAGAAGAGACTGGAGTTGGCAAAGAATTAATTTTACTTGGACCCACAATCAATGCCCATGGCAGCATTGGTCAGGCAGCCACCCCTACGGGGTAGTTCTCTCAGAGTGTCAGCATGGATTGGAA